TATTGTCGTTGTTGTTAATTTTGCTGCAAATACAGAAAACTTTAAAATTATCCCTATTTTTTATTTTTTGCATCTCTTTTTTTTTCTTTCCTTATTTCTTATTTTTATTCCTCTTTTTTTTTTTTGCCACCCATAATACGCACAATAATAAAACTGTAAATTATTATTGCAAAAAAGAAAAAAAAAAAACAAATACATTGAGAAAAAGCCACAGAAACTGCTGCAAAAATATTAGAAACAATAAAGAAAAAAACCTTTTTTTTTGCAAAAATTTTACTGAATTTTTGAACGTTGATTTGTTCACTGCTACTTCTGCTATATTTTAAGTTTTTTTTTTTCCAAAAAACTACACTTCAAAACGGCATAGTAACACGATGTAAAAAACACTGATTATAAGTCAGTTATTTATAAACAAAAAGAAGAAGATAAAATAGTAAATAAAAATTTTAACAGATGTATAGATAATGTGAAAATTTTTTTTTTTGCATATTTGCAGCTGTAGTTTTATTTATTTTAACTTCTTCCCAATACAGCAAATATCTTACTGTGTTCATCTATGAAAACTGCAAAAAAGTTCTTGTTCTTCTTCTGCCTCAGCAGTAACAGTCGTGGTTGTGATTAGTGATAGTGGGTGGCAGATGGTGACAACAACGATGGTATATGCCTAAATTGGCTTGATAATTTGTTATCTAAAAAAAAAATTTTTTAGTCAATCTGCCCCAGTTAGTTACTGTTTTCATCCTTAATAAAGAACAAAATTTTTGGTATCTTCATTCATTACCCGTTAATTTTTTTTTTACGTCTTCTTACCTGCTAAAATTTTCAAATCTATAATGTTATATAGTTTGAGGCTTTAAAGGTACTCAATAAGCAGTAATCTATATATATATATGATGTTTTAACTGTAACACTGAACTTAACTGTAGACGATAATTTGATCTTCCGAAATTCAATAGAAAAAAAAAAAATGTATTTGATAAACACTGTAAACTATTTTCCAGCTCCATTTGTCGTCAGTTTCATTCCAGTTTTCCTTGGCCAATTGCACTAAAAATACCAATTCTAATTCAATTTGCTTTTCATTTTGTGGCTAAAACATTGAAAAAAATTGAAAAAAAAAATGAAGCTTGTCTCATTTTTGTAAAAACTAAATATGTTATTACCCATATGGCTAAGTAAACTCAAAATCTCAGTCTTTTCACCTAAAAATTGATCATTGCCAGTAAAATAACTTTCAAAAAAATATACAATTTTTGAGTCTTCAAAAAAAAAAACTCGAATTAGTTTTTTTACGATCAAAAAGAAGTATTTTTACCAAAAAAGAAAAGTTTTGGGAAAGAAAACTTGTCTACTGTATGGAAGTGTCACGGTTGAATAGTTTTAAGGATAGAGTATTTGAAATGTTTTTTACCTGCTAAGCAACCTACAAAAAACTCTTTCTCTAATTGTGCAAAACTGAATCTTACTGTAGTTTGATGCTTCCAGCTTTTGTATGTATCTAAGGAACTGAAAAGTTTTCGATTCCCAGGCCTATCATATAACATCATTGGCCACCGACAAACATCAGAAAAAACGGCACTGTTGGAGTTTTATTCTTAGACAGTGTTGCAAAAAATTGCTGAATGGAAAGGTGCACAAAAACACAGGAAGATCGTAGAATACGCAGATTTTTGCAGCGTTAGATCAAAGAATATATCTAAAATGTACGGTTTTACTACATGTTGTGCATATATCATAGTGGAGGTTACTCATTCTACAGACGTTTTAAGAAGGCGGCATTAGGCAAACAAGTCCCTTTGATTAGTGGTCTACATTAAGCTGATCCAATTTTTCATTGTCTTACTTCAGCTGTTTTTTTCTCTTTT